TGCTGATTTTGGAAATATTGTGAAGAACTGTTGGAAGAAGGATGTTGTTTGGGGTACGGCTAGGGAGGAGTTTGTGGTGGAGGCTACCAAATGGCACCAAGATGTTTATAGAGAGGAAAAAAGGAAGAAACATCGGATTTATGCTAGAATTCATGGTCTGGACATTCAGTTGGAAGCTTGCTATGACAGAAATCTTGAAAGACTTCAGGAAGATTTATGGAAAGAATTGGAACAAATCCTGCTGAGAGAGGAACTTACCTGGTTTCAAAGATCAAGGGTGAAGTGGCTGAAATTTGGGGATAAAAATTCAAAAAAATTTCATTCCACTACTATAGCCAGGAGGAGATTTAATAAGGTGACTACCATTAAGGATGATTCTGGGGATTGGCTAACTGTGGAGAAGGAGATGGTGGATACTGCTGTGAGTTATTTTGAGAAGCTGTTTCGGGCAGAGGGGGAAGAATGTGAGGAGTTTCCAATTAAAAATGCTTTCCCCATGATGAAGGATCAGGAGAGTGATATGCTGGCTCGAATTCCTGATGATGGGGAGATAAGGAGGACTGTTTTCAAGATGGGAAGATTTAAGGCTCCAGGTCCAGATGGGTTGCATGCAATTTTCTTTCAAACCCAATGGCATATTATTGGCATATCTGTTTGTGAGTTGGTCAGAAGCATATTTTGTGAGCCGAAGAAAGTGAACCTTGTTAATAAAACTCTCATATGCTTGATTCCTAAGAAGGAGAACCCTGAATGCATGAGAGAATTCAGGCCCATCAGTCTATGTAATGTGTCATACAAAATTGTTACTAAGGTAATTACTGAGAGATTGAGAAGCTGGATGCCTAGTTGGGTTGCTCCTAATCAATGTGCTTTTGTGAAAGGCAAGCATAGTGCTGATAATATCCTAGTTGCTCAGGAGATCATACACTCTATGAAAAGGAAGAAAGGGAAGATGGGATGGATGATGATTAAAGTTGATTTGGACAAAGCCTATGATAGGCTAAGTTGGGATTTTATTCATGAAACTCTTGTTGAATTGGGATTGCCGAAGGATCTAGTCTCATTAATTGATAGCTGTGTCAATTCAAGTGAATTGAATGTTCTATGGAATGGTCAGCCTACTAGGTATTTCAAGCCTTCCTGTGGAATTAGACAAGGGGATCCCTTATCCCCTTATCTATTTGTCCTATGTGTAGAAAGGCTAAGCCACCTTATACAAGTTGCTACTGAGGTCAAGGCTTGGAAACTAATTGCCTTGAGCAAGAAGGGCCCCCCCATATCTCATCTATTTTTTGCTGATGACATCATCCTGTGTGCTGAAGCCTCTATTGATCAAGCTCATATTATTAATCAAGTCCTTAGAGTTTTTACTGGGTGTTCTGGGCAGAAAATCAGTAAAGAAAAAACAAGGGTTTTCTTCTCTGAAAATGTGGGTTACAAAAGGGCTAAAGATATTAGTGAATGCTTGGGCATTGGTTCTACTCAGAATCTGGGGAAATATTTGGGGGTGATGCTTAATCATTCTAAAGTTAATAGAGCTACATTTGGAAATGTCTTGGACAGGGTGAATAGAAGGTTGAGTGCTTGGAGTGCTAAATCCTTATCCTTAGCTGGGAGGCTAACTTTAGCTAAATCAGTGTTATTTGCCTTGCCTACTTATGTAATGCAGACTGCCTGGTTGCCTAAATCTGTTTGCAATGATATAGAGAAGCAGTCTCGCGGCTTTATATGGGGTTCTACTAGAGACAAGAGGGGAACACATCTTGTTAAATGGGAACAGATGTGTTCTGCTAAACAATTTGGAGGTGTTGGGCTGAGGGACTTAAGGAAATTTAATCAGGCTTTTAACATGAAGGTGGGGTACGAATTACTGGTTAACAAGGATGCTTTGTGGGCTAGAGTCTTGAGTAATATTTATAAGCTAGAGGATGGCCTCACCCCTCAGATCTCAAAATCTGGCAATACTAGCAATATATGGAGAGGCATTTGCTCATCATGGGGTAACGTGCTTGAAGTGACCAGGATCTTTCTTGGTAATGGAAGAAGTACTAGATTCTGGTATGATAATTGGGTTCCTGGCTTAGGAAAGCTCATAGACAGAATCATCTCCCCAGTGCTAGATGAAGACAGTGATTGGAAGGTGGCTTTTTGTGTTCAGCAAGATGGGGAGTGGGACTTTGGGAAGCTCATGAGATATTTGCCAGCTCATGTTTGTGATATTATAGCTAAGATGGAGAAGCCAAGAATGGATGGAGGAGATGATACAATTTTTTGGAGGCATTATAGTAATGGTCTGTTTTCTGTGAAATCAGCTTATCAAGCTATTGAGAATCAGATTCCTGGGATGCAAGCTCAAAACCAGTGGTGGAATTTAGCTTGGAATTGGAGGGGACCTGAAAGGATCAAACATTTTCTCTGGCTTCTATTGGGGAATAACTTACTCACTAATGATCAAAGATACCATAGGCACATGGGTGAGGAGTCTCATTGCTATAGATGCCATCATCCGTGTGAAGACTGTAACCATGTGGTGAGAGATTGCTATTGGGCCAAACAGGTGTGGAGTTTCCTTATGCATGAATCCAGGTATGACTCATTCTTTAATGTTAATTTTGTGGACTGGATAAAGGAGAACCTGCAGAAAGGCAAGGGCAAGAATCAAGACCGGATGTGGATTCTTACTTTTGGGGTCACATGATGGATGTTGTGGCAAGCAAGGAATAATTTTGTGTTTAAGAATGAAGTCTGCCAGCTTGAAGCCATCAGCTATAGGATAAGGATGTATGTTGAGCACATAATTCAGTCTGAGAATATGCTTGATGAGGTTGCTATCAATTTGAAACAGATGGAAGAGTTCAGAACCCAATGGATTCCTCCTGGACATGGCTGGATCAAAATAAACTCTGATGGTGCTTGTTCTTTAGATGGATGTCGTTGTAGCTGTGGAGGAGTTTTGAGGGATAGTGAGGGGAAGTGGCTACTGGGCTACATGAGGAAGGTTGATCATGGTAATGCTCTCAAGGCTGAACTTTGGGGAGCTCTAGTCGGTTTGCAGATAGCCTGGGAGCATGGATTCAAGCAGGTGCATTTGGAAGGGGATTCTGTTGAAATGTTGCAGCTGATCCAGGATCAAATTGCTGGTGTGCATCCTCTGTTTTCGCTGCTGTCCAGCATCAAGGATATGGTTGCTAAACCATGGAAGGTCATATTTTCTCATATCAAGAGGGAAGGGAATGAAGTTGCTAATTGGATGGCTACAATGATGGATCTGAAATCTTGGGATGTTGTTGTTTTTCCCAATATTCCCCCTGGTTGTAGGCGGTTAGTTGAGAAGGATTTGTTGGGTGCTAGTGCTTCTAACAGTCCTTAGGCTGTTTCTTTGTTTTTAATTTTCCCTAATATCCAAAAAAAAAAAATATTTAACCTTCTTTTTTCCCCTACAACTTATACGTGCAATGAATACCAATACCATGAATTATAGTACATTCTCTTCCTCTGACTAGAATTTGATCTAAAATAAAAACAGGCACGTGACTCAAAAACAAACAATGTGACCTTAATTCTGTGGGATTACTTTGATATTCTTCGTAAAAAGAAAGATTAAAATATTGTTTTTTACTATAAATTATAAAATTTCATATTATAATAAGTAAGATTTAAAATCTTAATTCATAATTTTTATTATTCAGTGTGTAATTTTTTTTTTTAAAATTATTATTCACTTTATATCTTTTATGAGTTTGCTTTTTCTGCGGTTACTGCAGATAAGTTATCTGCAGTAAGCCCAATACGACGTCGTTTTGAGATGGAAATCATGGTATTTTTGTAATTTTAATTTATTTCAAGGTTATAATAGTTTTATATTTATAATTTTTTAAGATTTCAATACCAAAACGACGTCTCTTTGAAAATAAATACAGATAACTTGTCTGGATTAACTGCAGAAAATATTTTTCCCATCTTTTATTAGCTAATTTGTTACATTTTACGTATAAGTTCAATAATTAAAAAGTACGATACTAGTTTGTTTTTTTGGGAAAAAGAGTATCAAATTAATTCTTATGGATTTGGTTGATGCAAAGCACCTAGCAGACCAAATTAACCCCATCTCCGCATATATCTTCTTTAATTCTTAGTATTCATTGTACTACTTACTAAAGTGAAAAATAAATAAATTGATTTTACACGTTTTGTTATGTTTTTTTATTATTAATGAGATCGACACGAGTTTTAGGGTTATGATAAAATTCTAAAAATAATTTTTCTTTTTTTTTATTTTGAGAAAATAAAATGGTTTGAAATACATTTAATAAAATCAATTTATTTTTTTATTTTAGCAAATCAATTATCCCAGAATATAAACTGGCAGAAATAAGAATTTTATTTTTTGTTTCCTAGCACCCTATTTATTAAATACAAACATTAAATACACATTATTTATTGAGTATATATATTATTTATTAAATACACTCTCTCTTTTGGGTATAGAAATAAATTGTGTTATCAAATATTTTTTTTTTCAAAGATCATGTCATAACAGAATCATTATCATACATACCCTCATATATTCCTACTATTAGTGAGAGAGAAAAAATACGTACTAAGAGAGTATTATAAGAATTTACTCCCGTTTCCCATTGTCTTTAACACAGCAGCCATGAGCATTTGGTACAAGTTCAAGTGGCAAAGTATAATGGTACTTGAACTCATGCAAATCTTACATGACATTAGAAAATCCATGATGTTAAATGCTTGAAAGAGTGACACCGTCAACACGGGTGGTCCCAAAACATATAAAGCAGTTTATGATCTTCACCACACAAGTCCCATTAACACAAAAGAACTAATGTCCTACTCCCTCACTTGAGCAATGTCTTTATTGCCCATAAAAGGCGGAACTTGTGTACAAATATTTGTGTCATTAACTCTCATATATGACTCATGACACACTCACCTCTAATCCTAATTCCAAGCCAAGCTAGGTCATAAAGCTATACATCATGAAAGGAAACAAACCTTATCTTGTTGTGATCCTCATACAAGCCATATACGCTGCCATGTTTCTTCTCTCAAAAGCTGCATTCGACCATGGCATGAACAATTTCATCTTCGTTTTCTACAGACAGGCCATAGCCACCGTTTTCCTTATCCCTTTCGCTTTCTTCTTCGAATGGTACGCACAACTAATTAACTTGTACACATCTTCGTGCATGTATATATATATATAACACATGTATTTTCTAAATTCAACTTCTATTACTGAAAGCTACCACTACCATTTTGGATGCAGGAAAACTGCACCGCATTTGTCATTCTTGACTTTTTGCAAGATCTTCTTCATTTCTTTCTTTGGGTATGTCCAAATATTCAAATGAATTAATATATATGTGATTAATTTCTTTGTTGCTGAAAACTAACCTGTTTTTTTTTTTTTATTAATGATGGCTTTTCTATAGCCGTTCGATCTATCTTCTTTTTTTTAAGAAAGAAATTAATAAAATTGTGTCGGTGATCCTAAATTTCAGGATTACTTCGAGCTTGGACATATATGGTATTGCTCTTATTTACACTTCTGCCACTTTGGCTGCTGCTACTACAAACTGTCTTCCCGTCATTACCTTCTTCTTGGCTCTCCTACTCAGGTTGAGAAGAACTCAATATGTATATTTGCTTTACATTTTTTTATTTATAGTTAGTTTGAACTTTAACAATTTAACAAAAGGATTCATACCATCTATTGTCAAACCTTAAAATCAAATATTATTCGTGTGATTAAGATTCCATTTTGCAGTGAGGATCGAACTTTATACTAAGAAACTCTAATATCATGTGAAGAATTAATTCAACCTAAAAATTTAAATTATTAGATAAGGTTACGTTAATGATTTTATATAATATTTTTTAAATGCAGTCTTCCAAGTATTTCAGAGTTTCTCTGTAAATAACACACTTGGAGCACCTAAAAGTTTCTCATAATCTCGTGTTTGGATAGTAAAGTATAAAATTTAACAGATGTAATTGTAATACGGATGAGATGGTATAAAGAGAACAATATTTAGAATCAAATCCACTAGAGAGGTGGTGTGTGTGTCTATATATATATATATATATATATATATATATATATATATATATATATATATATATATATATATATATATACGGGAAGGGTTATATTCACAAACTTTTTTATTTACAAACTCTTACAAATTATATTATCTTCTTCCAGAAGAACACTAGTCACACTATCTTTTTCCGGGAGAACATAGTGTAATTTGCAAAAATTTGTAAAAAAAGTTTGTAAACGGATCATTCCCCTATATATATATATATATATATATATATATATATATGAGGTATAAGATCATTTGACATCGGTGTCAAATTGGAAGTTTGACACCTCATCTGAATAAAAAAAGATCAACGACTCTGATTTGTAAGTATGTGATATCATTGATCTTTTTTTATCTAACGGCTCTCATATGAGGTGTCAATTTTTAAATTTGATACCGATATCAAAGGATCTAGCCTATATGTATATATATATATATATATAGTTTAAACACAAGCAACAATTATATATATAAGAAAGTATATTGACACAAAAAAATGGAAAAGAAAGAAAAGAAAAGATATTGGACTAGAGTTTCGTTTCAATTTTCAATCATCTCTCTTGAATTAATCAAGTGATTAAAATATACCCGATTATTGGGGTATGTGTGTGACAAGGATTTTTTAGTTTGAACCTACGAGTCACGAGTCTAAAATTTAAGTTCATGTTAATTTGTGACATGACAGCTGTGGGCTGTTCTGACAAGATCATAATGTTTACTATTTTGAGAATGAATACATATTTCTTCTCTCTGCTTAGCTATTGAAATGTCTTGGATATTGAGTAACTTTTAGATTCGACATGTTAGTAGAAGCCAAAATGGTTCATGCTTGTGTTATGTTGTTACATAGGTATAATATAAAACTTACTACTGAAGGTCCATAACTTATAAACTTAAGTTTTTGGATTGAAATTGTTTATTACATGCTATCGGAACTTTCGTAATCATGGGATCATTAGTTCAATCCTTAACCGTCCTCACTTTATAATGAAATTAAGTCAGTACAAGGTAAAATAAAAAATAGATTTATGTAATATCTATGCTTCAAGCCCAAAAAATTCTTGTGTGAGTGGATGTATAATAGAGATATAATATAAAAATCATTGAATTAAACTTTTATACTATAATAAACAACCAATTCAATTCAACAACTTAAGTTTTTAACTGATGAATTTTGAATAATTTTTATATTATATTTCTCTAACATCTAACGTATGTTCGAACAACATTAATATCATGAATGATTGTCCAAATATGTGCCTTGTTTTCACGTTATGGAAACGTGCGTTTACAATCATCATGCAACGCAAAACATATCATAAAGTTAGCGTATAAATGCGAGCAAATTGAATCAATTTGAACTTTCAAAAGGTGTTTCATCTTTCCCTAAATGTATTACTAACCCACACGAGAATTTGTTCTATTTCAGGATCGAAGTTTTGAAAATAAAGACAGCCCCTGGGATGGCTAAGTTGGTCGGTGTAGTGGCATGCTTGGCAGGAGCAGCAACTCTTGCTTTTTATAAAGGTCCTCATTTTGAACTTTTAAGCCATCATCACCTTTTGGGGTACCATAAAACCCAACAACACCAAGGTGGTGTTCCATCCGAGTCATGGGTAAAGGGTTGCTTCCTCATGCTCCTCTCCAACATCTTTTGGGGGCTGTGGCTTGTGCTACAAGTAAGAAAAATTTACTGCTTGTCATTAACATTATTTCATATGGTTAATTATTTAATATTCTCCTTATCATGTCATTTCTTCTTGTTAATTAACCAGGCTTTTGTCATAAAAGACTACCCGTCAAAGCTTCTTCTCACAACTCTTCAGTGTTCCTTAAGCTCAATTCAGTCTTTGGCCATTGCCTTGGCCGTTGAAAGAGACTTTGAGCAATGGAAGTTGGGTTGGAATGTCAGACTCCTCGCCGTAGTATATTGTGTAATCCTCTCAATATTCTTAATTAAATTGATGAACTTTTATCTCTATATAATTTTATTCTTTTTTCAAACAAGAAAAAATTCTATATACACATATTACTTAATGGTCAGGGCTATATATATAATTTGTAATCTCTGAACTCGTGACTGATGGTAACTAATTTATCTTGCTAGGGAATTATGGTGACTGGTGTGACCTATTACTTACAAACATGGGTTATAGAGAAAAAAGGACCTGTGTTTCTAGCCATGTCAACACCACTGGCTTTGATCATGACCATCTTCTCCTCCGCAATTCTCTTGGGCGAGATAATAAGTTTGGGAAGGTAATTTAATTAATCAGCTCTACTAAAAAAAATTGAAATTTCAATTTTATCTCTTATATTATTGCTATGGTTAGTTACTTATTAATTATTTGGTTGCTTTTGATGTTTAACCAGCCTTTTAGGTGGCATCTTTTTGGTTCTGGGACTGTACTTCGTGCTGTGGGGAAAGAGCAGAGAGCAACTGCCAAAAGCCTCGTTAGACTTGGAGCTACCATCGGGTTAGAGTGGACTCACAACTCTTAAGATATATGTGTTATATTTTTTTCCCAAGAATTAAATTGGCAAAAAATGTTTGGTGCTGAAGAAGGCATACATAGCTTGTTGTAATATAGTGCTAAAATTATGTGAATAATTAATTAATAAACACCATTTCAGCCTACGGAGTTATTCCAAAGTGTAAATTTAAATGCAAAATCTCCGACCAACACATCTTTGGGCCAAAGCAAAATAATCCTTGTAACTTATATAGACTTCAACCCATTATCAACAATTCATCACACTAATATATTCCAACATCACTTGTAAGTTGTATTATATAATTTTATTTTTTGCTATTTTGGATTAAATGTATTCATATTATAGATAGGAGCTCGATCGGGAGGCTTTCAATTTTCTATGTTTTGTATTGGTTCGTTACTCAAATATGGTTGTTTTACAAATAGTTGAAAATCTGTATAAAATTTTATTTATATTTATGATTGTCAGCGAATTTGGTGGTTCTTTAACAGTTATCATTTAACACAAAGAATAAATGTACACACGACTAGAGCTTCATAGCGCAGGGATCAGGAAATAGCCTGAAGGATGAATTAGATCGGGGGAAGCATATAGGATGATCAAGTATGTTTATTATTGCATAAACCTCCTTGTCTTTAATTATGAGCTCTTTTAGTGGGTATTGAGTCTCTCCTTAAAGAACAGCTATCTCTCGTAGATATGCCAGCGACCAGAGGCTCCTCATAATTCTCCTTCTTGTAGATTCTACTCATAAAAAGTTGGGAGAAATTCACTACGAGCATGTTATGAATAGAATATATAGGTTTTCTAGAAAACCTAGATATTTGAGCTTGTTAGAAGAACTTCTGTATAAATAGAAGAAAACATATAGGTTTTTTTTTTAAGAAAACCATATTGTCTGTTTGAACTTTTCTTGCACACGTAAGTCCAAAATAACTATTGCAAGAGCATAACTTTGACACAATAACACTAAATAATATAAAAAAAAAACCCAAAACCAATTCAAGTAGCGTTGAATGATCAAGAGTTATAGTCATCTTTCCCTTAATTATTGTATGGAACAGCACATCAGTTCTAGACAAATTAGCATAATGTCACACTCTTAGCTCAATTTGTCAACGGTAATTGTTAGGTTAAATCATGACATAAAATTGTCACTTAATGTTTCTATACTATAATATCTAATATTTCATATATTGAAAGTCCAATTCTCAAGCAAAGTCCAGCTTGATAGTTATTATATCGCATGTAACTAATTCAATCTGCTAATGTTTCTACTCATAAATAATCTTTAGTGCTAGAACGGGCGTGAAGATTTCACACACTCTTAGGTAAAGGAAATATATACCACTCTGTTATTTTTTAGTCCAAGTTTGGTAAATCATACTCGGAGACAGCCTCTTTAACTTTCTTCATATAGTTTTTTTCAATTTATAGAGCATCGATCATATACATGTTTAGAACTAGCCAGAGTTATTATGTGATACCCCAATAATGAAGTGTAACTTTTCAAAATAATAATAATAATAATTATAATGATTTTAACATAACTCAGTTTTATAAATAATGCCTACATTAGTCATATATGTATCAATGCAAAATAAAATAAAATAAAAAATTATTTTAAAATCTGGTTTGAGAATGAGCTCATAAACCAGTTTACACAATTTAAATTTATATACAGCTTACTGATAATTATTTTTGAAACATTTATAACGATTACCTGGAACCAATATTATTAGAACCGGACCGGTTATTGACCCGGCCGAGGTACCGGGTTACTGGGTCAATGGTTCAACCGGCGGGTCACTGGTTGAACCGCATGAACCGGATATATATATATATATATATATATATAAATTTATATTTTATAGTTAATTATATAATAAATATTTTAAATGATGCAATTCAAACAATAACTTAATGTAGTCTAGTGGTAATTACTATGTTGTTTATCTTCAATGCAGAGGGTTCGATTCCCATTTGATGCAATTTTTAAAATAATTCTGTTAACTTAATAGTTGGAACCAACGCTTTAATTTGTATAAAATAATTTAATCATTTACACAAATATGTTAACTTACAGAGTTTTTGAAATATATAATATTTCATAAAATTATTTTAATGATTCTATAAATAATACTAGATAGTATTTTTTATAATCATGTCATGAAAAACGTAATATAAACTAGTTAAGGGAAATATAAGAATCATGTTGTCAGTGCCATTTCTGCAACAAGGATACGGTGTCGTATCCTGACTTTGGTCTGACTTTTTTTTTTTAAGCGTGGGACCCACACTTGATTTGTGTGTGTAGGAAAGTGCTCTTGTCATGTCAAATGACAAAAAGGGAACCCACTAGTTAATTAAACTATAAATATTATTTACTTTTCATCATGACTGTTGGATTTTGTATGAACTATAATTTTGTATACTTAACTTAACACTATTATTAACGATAAAATTATAATATTTCAGCTATTCAATTCGTACAATTATATTTTGAAAATATCAAGCAACATACAAAATCAAATACTATTTGTAGGAAACACGGGGGCAATAACTTAAGATTGAGTTCCTTGGAATTCCCAATTGCAAATCACAACAAAATTAAAATTTACATTGGTGATTTTGAACCTACCAATAAAAAACTTCTATAGATAAGCAATAAATAACATGACAGAAAAATACCTGACTCAACAAGAATAAAAATAGGTTCTTCAAAAAGATATTAAAAATAAAATTGAAACAGCAAATAAGGAAAAATGTAGCTGCGAAATGTCACACACTAGTTTGGTTGGCCAGACAACGATCTCGGACACTGCAATGTTTCGTATTGTTCATGGTCCCATTCAGATTTTCGGTTTTAATGAATCTCACTGCTATCAGCAGCAGCTTTGGATTTATGCTCCTCCCCAATATGGCTTTTCTCTTCTATGTTGGATGCTGCTTCCTCTGTTATCTTCTCCGCAGACTCTGCCTTCGTTGAAACAACTTCAATTACTTTCTCCTCAGGCAGAGGCAGAGGAACTACCTCTGAGTTTATGGTCTCTTCAATCGGAGTCTCAGATTTTTCAGCTTCTGAAACATTCTTTTCGGTTTCCCTAGTTGGCACATCAGTGCTTCCAGATAATGGCTCTTGTTTAATTGGTTCATTGCTTTTTTGGGTTTCCTCTGAAGATGTCACCTTGGCTTCTTCTCCAGATTCTTCTTTCAGTGGCTCGCTGCTTTGATTATTTTCCTCTGAATGTTTCTCAGCTTCTGAGGTTTGTGTCTTTAGAGTCTCCTCAGGTGGCTTATTGCTTTGATTTTGCTCTGAAGATTTCTCCTCAACATCAACCACTTGAGATTCTTGTTTTGCTGGTTCATCGTTTTTGCTTTCCTGGTTCACTATTGGCTCATTGCTTTTAGCATCCTCCGAAGGTTTCTCGGCTTCAAACGTTTCTGGTCTCTCAGTCTCCTCCACTGTGGTTTTTTCATTTTTTGTGGAAACCTTTGTATCTTCATTCTGACAAACACAAAAAATATTGGAATGCTTGGTCTCAGAATCAGATCCAAACTTTAAGGCCCAGATGGCCCTGGGGAAAAAGTACTGGCCCAGCCCATCATCACACGGGCAATAAAAAACAGTAATTTACTAATTAGGAAGTGCCTAAACAATAACATAGCAGTCTCACTCTCACAGCAATGGCATGCAGACTATAATGTTATTCCTCACAAACACACACAAAGACAATGAGAGTGTGACATCTTTATGTAGTATTTTGCCTGAGGAGACCCACCACCTACCATGCAGGCGATGATATATTTCTAGGTCCATTTCTTTGTCGCGATTCCAATTCCATCATATTCAAACATATGGAGTTTTAATGTGTCAATTATAAAATAAAAACTATTAGGGTGTGTTTGGTTGGAGAATTTTGATGAGATAGATAGGCAAATTAGAAGTGAAATTGTAAGCTCACCATGTTTGGTTTAACTGTTTCCTCATTTGCCTAGCTAAATCATAATGCCAGCAACCTATGTTTCCATGTCATTTGGAACGAAATAGCCGGCCAACATAAACCCGATTGATATGTGGTATTGTGCCTTATCTATCTAAATGATAAGACTGTCTATTAACCAGATGACCAGCGTAACCCCATGCCTTATTCAAAATATATTAAAAACGTGGTTATTTTCGTAATAGTAACTTTTTTTTCTCATCTATATTTTACCTACACCCAAACATAGACTTTATAAAAGTTACCTAATTTTTCCGTCAAAATTTTATCCAACCAAACAATTTTTTCTACCAAACTCACTTTCCAACTATTTTTTCTATGTATAACATTTTTCTATTATTCATAAAATTTCTCGTCAACCAAACGCACGTGGACAAAACTCAAAAACAGTATAACATTACGAAAAGTAGTCTCAAAACTTTTAGCACCACAATAAATAACCCTGATACTAAAAATATGCTCTCACACTCGATGTGTACTGGAAAGGTCTATTCTGACCTTTTGTTTGCCATCATTGATGTTTCTAATTGTACGGTAATGAAAACATGTGAACGATGATAGCGGTAAACGAAATCAATAGGATCCAAACAAATGGTGGCTTCCAAAGGGTTGAACGTTTGTTTGTCATGTATTTCGTGCCCGACTTAACGCTTGTAATAATAGCATTGACAATCTTCGAAAACAAAGAGAAGGTTGCCAAAGCAGTCAAAGTTCAAACCATATGCAAATTGCATCGTGCTATGTTTGCATCCTAACACAGCTATATATAAAAACTAAACGGTGTCCACAAACACACAGAAAAAAAAAAAAAAAAAAGTTGTACCGAAGGAAAAATAATCCACTTGAGAATTGAAATAAACTTTGGATGCCGACAGTGGCCAAGAATAATTAGAAAATCACAATTAGAGAATTAAGTCAAAAAATCGGAACAACAGTGCTTCTGTTGGTTTAAGTTGTAAAGAGTAAAGTTGATAGACTCAGTACGATAAAGTGGGGAAGCTAAAGATGTAAAGATCTGCTTTTCTTTACGGAACGGAATGACACAAGAAAATCCGTTTATCTACCGAGTCAAAAAAAAAAAAAAAAAGTAGCAAATAACTAAATCCAACAATTCTATCACAATTCTTCATTTTATCAATTTATTAAAAGAAAAGAAAAGAAAACTTTTGAACAAGAAGTACGGTAATATCTCCATGGAAGGGCTCAAGGGCATCATAGAATCAGTTTTGGGAAATTTGGCTTGGACTTTGTCTTTTGCGTAATAAAATGATTAGATATTATACTTAGAAAGGTGATAATCTAGAAATCATATAATATAACAACATATTGAACAAAAAAGATTAATAGTAATGAAAGTGCAGAGATGGTGGAATTAGAATCCGTACCTCCTTGAACAACAAGCTGAGGGAACGTCGTTTGTTTGCTTGGTCATCATCAACAATTTCGTTGACATTGAGATTGTCGCCACCCTGTCCCTGTGTCGGTGGTTCTTGTGCCGCTGGCGGCGGCGCCACTTTGCTTTCAACAGTGTCTTCCCTGGTTTGTTCAGGTTCAGGTTCAGGTTCAGGTGCCTTGACCTTCCCATCGGCATCATCCTTCAAGACCTTAGGCTTAGTTGCACAAGCTCCCATTGCTCCCTCTCTCGATTTCGTACGCTTCTCTTTTTCTTTCTCTTAATTTACCCTAAGAAAATGAATATGAAGCGAAAGAAAAGTAAGAATAAGGAAAGGAGAACAACGTGCGGGGAAATCAATGCTAGCGAGCTGTGAGATCAAAGAGAAAGAGAGAGGGAGAGAGAGAGCACGACCTGTCTGGTTTGAACACAAAAAGGTAACCAATTTAATTAGTTCCCTTCTGTGTTCCGCGGCCAAGAAAAATTGTGACAATCTTGGAAATTTATTTTTCTTTAAAATATTATTTTACGAATTTATTATGATGAGGGGAGAAGCTTGAAAATAAAACTGCATCCTTTGAAAGGCAGGTTTCGAGTTCAACGTGCGTTTTGGTTGAGGGAATTTTTTTGGAATAGCATGGAAATATAATAGATAGAGAAATGATTAAAAAGATAGATAAAGTGAGATAGGTAAAAAAATGTTGTTTGGTGGGAAAAAACTTTACTGAGAAAATTAGGTAACTTTATGAAATCAACAGTGCAAAAAGTGTGTCTACAGTAGCATACCCGTGTTTTCATCAAAAACCACATGCAACTTTACTTTCTAAAAAGTGCAAAAACGTTGGTTTCTGAGTCAAAGTTGTGAAACACATGCAACTTACATAGATGGTTATTTGGAGAAAATCCTTCGAAACAAACGTTGGCTTTAACAAAACCTTAGTTCATATAGATGGGTAAATATTGAAAAGACCCAAACCAAACAGCACCTTAGTTTATTTTTAAGAGAAGGGATATTCTTACTATCAAAATTTTTTACTACCAACTCACTATCTATCTAATCACTCTTAGATCAACATTTTCTCTTTTTTCAAAAACTTTGTAGCATTCTTTCTCTTGATTCAATGGTGATTAAATAGGTAGTAAGTTAGTAGTAAAAAATTTTGATAGTAAGAATATACTCCCTCTATTTTTAATAGGATACGCAGGTGAATTTTAGAAGGTAAAAACAACTATATCAGGTTGAAGGACAATTCTCTTGTCATGCTATAGAGACAATAATGTGGAGTCTATCATATTTAAAATAAAAATAAAATATAGAGCAAATATCGATGTATGTGTATAAAATTTTATATTTGTCATGCAACATATGCAAAACCCATTTTAGAATTTTAAAAATTTGTGCATGATCTGTCTATTTATCCTAACAAAAATAAATTATGAATGTAGTGAACTTCAATGTATTGGTTGCACTGAAATTTTGTTCTCCACACAAACAACACATAAGTCTATGAGTTTTATAATTCTCATGTTGAAGGAGAATTGAAATCTCATGTTGTAGAGATAAAAAGCATGTGGGACCCATGTGTTAGAAAAAATTATATGTAGGACCCATGTCAGCACGGAAATCGAAGGGTGTGTAGGAGAATTGTAATTCTCATGTTAAATGAGAATTATAAAACCCTAAGTCTATAATATAAAAGAGAAAAGGAAGAGAAATAAATCGATAATAGAAAAGAGAAAGGGAAGAAAAATTTCACACATCAGTGTACCTTAGTTCATCCAATGCAGGCTACGTCCTGTTTGTTTGTACTAAACACTCATTACAAGGGAAATATAAATAGAATTTAAAAACCCTAATCATAGTTATTCATAAGTCCAAGTCCAAATTACTAAGAAAAATATAATAAGTCAGAGACTCACAATAGTATCAGGCCCCTATGAACCCGATGATGTTGCCCCCTAGATCCCGCCAAGGCAGCTTTCTCGGACCTCGCCAACAAGGGTCGTTGTCTGAAGTATGAATCATACTCAATAGGTTTCAATGGATTTGATTTCAGATTAGTGGGAATTTAAAATATCTTTGAGTGGATTAAACTAAAATAAAATAAAATACAAGGCATAAAAAGGATTTCTCATGAAATTGTGCTGAAAATTAGGATATAATTGAAAATTAAGATTGTGAAATTTATTTCAGTTAGAAGAAGTTTATATATTTAAAACATATTTTATATAATTTAATTTAGAGTATCATATTAAATCTCTTAAAATTAGTTTTCTTACTTTTTTATATTTCAAAAGATTTATTTGATTGTTTCAGGGTCACTATTTAGTATAAATAGGAAGTAATAGTTGTTTTTTATATATGTTTTAATGAAAATCTTTCAATTAAATCCTAATATTAATATTCTCGTAAATACATATAAGAAAATTTCAGAGAGTGGAAAGTGTGTGTATTATATTTTGAGTTGGGTGTACAATATTACAATTTTCTACACATAGAATCCAGCTGGATGGACAGTAGGACAGCCATTAAGTGGGCCCTTTGGTAGATGTTTGGTATTCTCAACCGGCAATAACATAGCCATTTGTTGGTGTCACGTACAGGTATGTCAAAATCACAATTACGGACATATTTAAGCATCCACTTGCCCTAACATTGTAACATAAACTATATAACATAACCCAAAAAAATATGTTCATTTATTTAGTATTGTTAAAATTACTGTAATTTGGGTCGGAACATCTTCAACCATATTAATTTGTGTCCATAAATATAACGCGAAATGTAAAGGACGAAAATGATGGGACAGAAGGTGTGGTTCCCACTCCCAGTCCTAGGCCGTTCACAGTTTATTCCAATCTGCTTTGGACGAAAATACCGAAACCATTAACCACATTACAAGAAATTACGCTACACTCCAAAGCTGTCACTTTATCCTAATGCAAAAAGTTTCAAGCTCTCATCTTTGCGTTAATTAAGGAACACAATGCAAGGCCCTAACAAATAGGGGCAAAAAAAAAGAGAGAGTAAATGAGATTTTTATAACTGTAAAACTCAAACAGTCAGGGCTGGTTTAGATTGCTTTTTATCATGTGATTGGATATTTTCTTAAAATTAAATCTCTCAATCAATTGGAATAATTTTATATATAGAGATTTTATTATGTAATTATTTAAAATTTATTTTGTATGTTTTTAATATCATAAATTATAATTCCATGTTTCCATAATTAATTAATTAATTGCTGTAAATCTTATATAAATAAAATGGGCTGGAATCTCATAAGATATTCACAAATTCCCGTCAATACACGAAAAAGAATCAACCTCAATTAAAATATAATAAATTGAGAAAGTATCAAGAAATATCTCCAAAAAAAAAATAGCCTCAATATGAATCGGAATCGGATATAAATTGGAAAATCAATTGATTTTATAATTTTTCCGACCAAATTTTTCAATTGAAATGTGGTAATTAACCTTCACCGGTCTAATTCTTTCATCTATATGGTTTGAATAGTCCAAGAAGAATTTTCTAAACCCAACAAATTTAGACATAAAAAGAAGAGCTTATCTACTCACGCACGGAAATAGTATATTTTATGCTAAGACATAAAATAATGAGGCATCGCTAAAAAAAATGACAATACAATTATCAAAGTGTTTATGACATAAAGATAATAATCTCTTATAACATCTATTATTTTCCTAAAAAGAAAGCAATGATCTTAAAAAAATCAGGAATGCATTACTAGTAAAGCTGTCAAGTTTGAGGGAAGGGGCAAACGTGCTCACATCATGCTCTTGGAGGAAAATGACCCCAGAGCCATAGTTGTGATGTGCTTATAATTACATCGTGTCGCCCATCATTCATCACACTTTGCGTTACATGCATGCTTCTCGATCCTTAAAGAAATCCTTAAAGAATATATTACTTACCTTAAAAAAAATAGAATATGTTTATGACCCTTTCACCACTTTTTCCTATTTTAACTATAGTCGCCGCTTGTCACGGATCGGATTCAATTTATAAGAGTTGAATTTTTCACATTTGGCATGGAATTTTAAAAATGACAATCAATTGGTTTTTACATGTTCATTTTTTATTTTATAAAAGAGTATAATTAGTTTCTTATGATTTCTTGGGAATTATATTATATGTATAACTAAAATTTTTGAATTAAGAAAACCGCGTAAACGAAATTATTTACTAACTAATACTACACACACACACACACACAAAAAACAATCAATTGACATCTGTATATGATTTAATATCCTTGCCTAATCTATTTAGTATTTTTATAACTAAATAATTTTTATACCTGTTTAGTTATGATTATTTACTAGATTGATTTTTTATGTCAAACTATTAAAAAAACAAATAACAATAAGTATGTACTTAAATAATATTTTATTTTGATGTTAGTAATGTCACATAATGCTGTATTATAAATATGAAGTCGTTTACTTTAATTTTGATTTAACTTTTTTGTGGAGAATTTTTCGGATCCTTGTATTGCACTTTTATCTTTAATAATTAATTGATAAGAGGAGAGATATTTTTACTATAAAAAAAATACACTATCAACTTATTATCTCTATAATTACCATTGGATCAAAAAGAAAGAATGCATGAAAATTTTTGAACAAAGAAAAAATACTGATTCAATAATGATTATGGTCTATGGAGGTAGTGGGTTAGTAGTACATTTTTTTTTATAATAAGAATATCTATTCTCAATTGATAAATATTTGATTGCTACTATTGCTTTGAAATTAAATAAAATCACATTTTATTGTATTTATATTTTAAATGAGTATGACATGGAGATAAATGCTAATTACTATTTGCTCTGACTTTATTTGATTATTATTATTTATACACAATAAATGGCATTGAAGTTTCAACCTCTGTAACTTTGTTTGAATTACCTAAATCTCTCCATGCTAACTCATTCCTTCTGTCTCTCAACCTGTCACTTATAAACCCCGAATATTTAGTTTTGGTGTTGGGACGACTACTTAGAAAATATTATTTATATCTGTATATTTAGTGATTGAGATTCGGGCTGTTCTCAAAAAAAAAATTTAAAGAAAATTTTAAATGTATTAAAAAACAAAAAATAGGAATAAGAAAAAAAAAATTCAACTTAACATAAAAAATTATTCCCAACACCTTTTTTTAAAAAATCAAGATGATTTGTTGTATGGCATCATAAAATATCCAATACAATATATGGCATCATATATCCATCATACTGTATTCCATTAATTTCTATTCCACCCCTCATTGTATATCCAAGCAAAACCTAATCTAACCAACATCATGCTTTACTACTATGCTTCAAAAAAAAAATTAAGGGGTTTATGTCCGCACTTGCGGACAGAGACACCCAATCAGGTCCGCCATTGGGATTACTCAAGTGTGTTGAAAATTTGCGTTAATTGATAATGAGTTAAG